AACCCAGTTTCGCCATTGTTCGATTCAATGGTAGATCGTAACGTCCGCCATCCGGATAGGAGATTATAATGCTCGCGTGTACGTGGTACCGCGCATCGTCGCCTCTTCTGTGTGTATGTGCGCGCGCGCGCGCCACATATGTGTGTGTCATTGCCGCAGACGAAAGTACACTCATACGTGTGCATACGTATATACGGGAATATATGCGTGCTTGCGCACATAGCAGCGATAAGCGAACGGCGACGCCGGTAGAATTTACGAATTCATCGACTTTCTCCTCTTATCTAAGGTCCCGACCTCAGGAACCGCGTCCGCGCCAGTTTTACACTGCGATACTTTTCTCTTTTCGTCACTGCCAGCATGCTGCAGGTTCGATCCCGAATATTCGATTTATCGTTCACAATTATGAAAGCGCGATAAATGTTGTCAATTTTTAGTACATACGTAATAAAGAAATGAAAATAAAAGTGACCGTTACTTAAAGTCAATTTGCATTATCTTCCAAATTTTCAAGTACCAATTGAAATATTGAAAGTGATATGTCATGTTCATTAAATAATTAATGCTTAATCAACAATGATATGATATGACTAAATTTAATCAAAAAGTTCTTTTATTTGTTCCTTTAATTATTCAATTCTTATTTCGTTATTTCGTTATTATGTGTTGCATTAATAAAAATTACAAAATTTTCTTGGATACATGATGTCAAGTAGCTGTCTTCCTTTTATTTTATAAAAGAGTGTTATTTCGAAATTTATCGAAATAAAATGTGATGTGTCCATCGAAATGCAACACATAGTGACTTAAGAATTAAAAAATTAGGAATTAGAAGAAATAAGTCAACTTTAATTAAATTAAATTTAGAAATATCGTTGTTGATTAAGCATTAAATTTAATGAAGACGACATATCATTTCTAATAATATTTCAATTCATACTTGAAAATTTGGAAGACAACACAAATTGATTTTAAACAATGGTCACTTCTATTTTCATTCCTTTATTATATATAAATAATAAAAACTGCTCCAATTTATATTAATTAAAAGGAAATACACAAAGGAAATCTTTTAATATACTGCATAATTAAAATTTATTAAAATTTTGCTCGTAATACTGCAAAATAAGAATGCGTCACAAAATAATATCATAATCATAGATAGTGAATAATCATTTTCGAAACAATTAATATATTGGAATTAAAATTTCCTATAATGTCCCACATAAAATATCAACTGATGTTAAAGTGAAACGAATTTTACCGACATTTTATACTGAGGTACTCGATTCGGAGATAGTTTTGTTCTTGGCACAGCAGAGCACAGCACAGCACGCGCAGAAAACGAGGAGCGTGACTTAATCGGTAAAAGCGTGCGATTCTAATTCTTCCTGTTTCGGATAGCGGATTTTCGATATGGAATTTAATTTCTTACATGCACAAACAAATAATCGAAAGAAGGATTCTTCGTTCCATATTCATAATCAATTCTTGTGTTTAAGGTTGTCTTAAGTACAATCTTAAGAAGTCGTAAAACAATTATAGAACCATATTAGCATTTTTTAAAACATTACTCGAAATAAGATTATGAATATAGTCTTTAAAAAATAGTGATGGAGTTTAAAAAAAAATTAAGGAAGAAGGATTAAACCCAATCAACTAATATGAGTAATGTTTCAATTAAAATATGATTGAAATTGATGTAACTTGAAAATCATGAATTTTTCGCGCTATTATTATTGTCGTTATTGCTGAGAAAGGCTATCTAAATTTGTTGCCTATCTATAATCGAAATCCAAACTTAACGGAACAGTCCTGGTTACCATATTTGCATTGATGTCGTTAGAACGGTATTACTATTCAATACGACATTCTCAGCGATCTCCACTTGCATTTCTCAACTCTCTTCGTAGGTAACACTTCGTCCAGTCATCTGTTACGTCCGTGTAACGCACGAGACCCTGCCCGGCAACTCTTCAAGGCCTAAATAGAAGAAGAAAGAAGAACGTGAGCGTAAGCGCAAACGTAATCCTGCCGGCTAGTACGGATTGACCCTGAACTTCAACCGCGCTGCTTACTAGCATTTCCAGTAGCAACCAGAAGCAGCGACAGCAACGTCGGCAATGTCCGTCCAGCAATGATTTCCTTATTTAGCAATTTTCTCAGTATCGCGCCGACGAGTTTATTACGCATGCGAGTGAGCGTGTACGGCTGTGCCACCGCATAATTTTTACCTGAAGAACTTGCCCCTTTTTTTTTAGATCGCTTTAAATCGTTTCTGACTTCTCTCATTATGGATAAATATCTGTCACGATATCGTCTTGGCTCGAGACAGCGATACACGCACGCGAAAGGCTCGTTATGAAAAAAATTGATGTCTTGTTTAATTTATTATGTGCGACTGCAGGATCGTAAAAACGATACATACAATGCGAAGAAAAAAAAAGAGACAGAAATGGAAGATTTGATGTCTTGCTTTTGCTTTCGTTTCCTTTTTTATTTAAGACATTTACTTTCGTAATATAATATATTAAGATTATCATAAAATAATCGTATAGTTTAAGTGCTGTTCGGTCTACTATGCGCAAGGTTTTCAACAAAATGATTTTCTTATGCAAGCGCTATTACAGGTGGATATAAATTTTCCAGTTACGTAATGCGGCGCTTTGCGACGTCTAATACGAAAGGAATTCATTACAACGTTACGATGAGTGTTATCTGAGAATAAATAAACAGTAGCCCACAGCGAATCTATATGCATACCTAATGTCGAATTCGACGGGAACCCGTCGCGCTACTTTCGATGATTTAAAATTCAATGATAGATTCAGCACCTTCTTCGGAACTCTTACCCAAGGTCTTTCCTTTCGAATTCGATCGAACAATCAACTGAAGGTCATGGCAGCGAATGCGAGATGCTCTTAGATCTACATGTACTACACGTACTACACGTTATTACTTCATCGTTCTATAATCCTAAGTTACATATTTTAAGATATATCGTATTTCACAATGGAATAAAATTTATCTTAAAGAGAATTCACTTTTTGATTATCATACTAAATGTTTTTGAAAATGATTAGAAAAATGTATTTATGTAAAGACACTCACACACACACACACACTCACACACACACACACACACACACACACACGCACGTACGCACGCACACATAATCATTATATAAATCTACATACAAAACATAAACAAATCAGCTGCATTGGAAAACATGCTTTAAATATTTTAACACTGTAATTATTACTTCTCAGTAATAGAAGAAATTAATCTTTTAGAAACAACATATTGTTCTCTCTCTCTCTCTCTCTCTCTCTCTCTCTCTCTCTCTCTCTCTCTCTCTCTCTCATGAGTTAAATTAGAGAGAATATATCGATAAATTAATATAATATTTTTTTTAATTATATTTTCCGTATATATCTTATTCTCTCGATAATATTACAATAAATGTAAGTTTAAATGAAAGTATACAACAAACTGATAAATGATAATTTTCAGTATTAAACAGATCGTAATCTTGAGATACGTTTGACATTGCGGAATTCATTTCATAATATTAGTTATACGTTTGCTCCTTTTGAGAACATAATGTGAAACCGGACTTTCTCTCTCTCTCGACTTCCCTTGAGAAACTGAAGGAATGCTCGATCAGCCGTTAATTCTTAGCCATGGCCGCGTTAAACTGTTGCAAATCTTCGACACGGATGAATGGGATATTTCTTACGCGCTCGATATTGTATTAGTCAAATATTTTTTTTTATGATCAGTATTACAAGATTATGTCGTAACAACAATCCATCAATTGTTTTCTGAAATAAGTGTTAATTAAAAGCGAATTATGTTCGACCGACACTTGGTGAAAAAATATTAAATAGAACCGGATTCTGTAGCAAAACAAGTTGTTTCTCTGATAGTTAATAGGATTAGAAGAATTTCTAGTAATATAAAACAGATTTATAAATCACATTCGAAAATCATATACCTATTGCATCACAATTTATGTTACATAATATTAATTAATTATATTTTATGAAAGAGTATACAAAAATATATTAAATATTCGAGAGCTTTTATTCAATGCATTGTTATTAATTAATTTATGAAAATATTATATAAATTTAATGTTGTATGAAATATTAATTTTTAAAATTTATAAAGAAAATTAATTTTTTTTGCTACTTTTTGTGAAATTATAGAAGAATCAAAATAGATATAATTAAATATAAGTGAAAAATAAAATGAGGAGTTTAGACCGTCTAACGAGATAATTGCATACTATACCATTAAACATGTTTGACATGGTCAACTGAGAGCTGCGTAGATGTAAGAGAAACGTGAGAAACATGATCTTATGACACGTCAGTATCTCTTCCGCCGTTTCTTGGAGAACCAAGACACGAAAGGAGGAAATTAGTGTAACGAAGCTGTCATCGCAACACGCAAGGCGGCAAGACCACTTATTGGGTTAAGGACGCGGGATGCATTTTTTATCACATAATTTCTTACCACGCTATGTCTATACGATAGTACGATTTCATTTTTTTAAATTTATCAATAAATGATTCATGTGTGTAATTAATTATTAATTTATCGCAAAGGTGTGCAAAGATTTATTATTATGATATTAAATATTCGATATTATCAGATATTTGATATCATCATATTTTTTGTTTACAAATGTCATTTTAAAATTTTTTTAAATCTGTTTTTGGAATTTTTTTAAATCTAAATTTTTCAAATCTTTAGATCTTTTTTCTACAAAAAGTAATTTAATCAGAGGCACGTGCCACCTATCATTTAATTAAATTTATTATCATTAAATTTTGATAATTGACCAAAAACTATCGACAAAAATTATACTTTAATATGCCCCGTTATTTAACTGTTTTTTTTTTTTCCTTACGAATGACGTATTCAAATTTTAGATTAATATAGAAGCCTATCCGACCATGGATATTAATATTTTTTTTTACTCTTGTTTCAGACGATGTATTCTGACGGTCTCCTGACGCTCCATTATGGAAAACATCCAGCGACCTTGGCCGCAGAGGTCGGGGCCTGGTACAGCGGGGACCGTCACGTAGATGTAACTCTGGCATGCGATGATGGGTCTGTTGTGAAGGCCCATAGAGTCGTTTTGGCAGCTGCCAGTCCCCTCTTGGCTAGTCTACTTCGGAATCCTGCCCTGGACCATGTGGTTCACTTATCAGGCGTCCGAAAGACGCAATTAAATCATTTGTTGGAATTTTTATATAACGGAGAAGCGTTGATACCGGTATGAATTTTAAATTATAATATAATTTTAGTATATAAGTAAAATATTTCGAAAGAAAAACAGCTTATTAACATAATATTTGAATATGTTTAAGTGTTTGGAATGTGTACTAAGCAGAATTTTATTAATAAAATTTTATTTCGTTCGACATTATTTCAGTCGACAGAGCTTACGCCATTAAGGGAGCTTTTTGAGCTTCTCCAAATTAAGTCCGAGCTATTTGAGCCCAATCAGCCTCAAACTAGTAACTCTGATCCCGAAAGAATATCAACTCCACAGCCCTCAGAAGGCCAGGAGAGTTCCAGTTACGAATCCCAATACGATGGCAGGTAGGCAAATAAATCTTACAATTTATCGAATTTGCATAAATAAAAAAACATTAGACAAAATGTTTTAAAAAACTTATATCTTTCAGACAGTCCAATAATCCTGCGGACTGTTGCTCAGTCCTCATTAAAACAGAAGGCTGCGAAGAGGAGCCGGAAGTGGATGTGGAAGGTGTGGAAGGCGAAAGTCTTCTTTCGGATAACAGAGAAAGCAGCATAGAACCTCCTAGAAGAAGGGATAGTTCTGATCCTGTTAATCTGAGTCTCAATTCCGGCACTTCCGTCACAAGTGATAGCTCACATGATATAATACACAGGTTAGAAAATGTTGACATTATGTCACATAATCGTTACGATAGTAATATAATACTATTTAATTATTTTGAATAAACTATACCCAATAGAACCGATGAAATTTGAAACAATAGAATAAATCATTAAGATGACTTGATCTGACTATTGCAGGTCTGAAAAACCGATATTCGAAAGGCGAGAATCTCTTGAGGAAGCAGAAGAGCGGAAGAGGCAGTTGGCAGCGCGACTGGCGTTAGGTTTAGAATCTGGGAAGAGAAAACTCGAAGAATTACCGATCCCACCTGCGGAAGCATATGTCGTGACGCCTCATCGAAAGCGAAGACCAGGCTTCCACAATGCTCCCGCACAAAATCCGGCTTTCGTGCCTTTCAATCCTGGATTCGAAACACCCAGAAGATTGCAGGCGCCACATCCCCTGAGTGTTTCGGCACCACCGTACCTGGTTGGTTTTTAACAGTGACTTCCGATATATTACGATGAACGTTAATTAACATCTATAAACGTGCACGATTTATAAGCTTCTTTAACAACTTATTATAGTTTCTTCAAACGTTTTCAATACTATAGATATACATTGCAATTTCATTTGAGCGTTTCTACGTTTTTTTACGAAGTGTTATTGATGTGCAGCAAGATAGATCAGTGACGCCGCCATCACATCGACCGCCCAGTGCTGATCCGACGTCAGCAGCGGCTCTAGAGCCACCTTGGACGGCTTGGACTCTGCCACCTGCCAGAGCGCCACCGCCGCCACCGTCAACGGACGACCCGCCGAAGTCTACCCCTGTTCGAGAATATCGATGCAGTTACTGTGGCAAGCAATTCGGCATGTCGTGGAACCTGAAGACCCATTTAAGAGTGCACACGGGCGAGAAGCCTTTCGCGTGTAGACTTTGTGTTGCCATGTTCAAACAGAAAGCCCATTTGCTAAAACACCTTTGTTCGGTGCACCGAGGTGTGATAGCCGCTCCCGACAATACGTTCTCGTGTTGCTTTTGCTCGTCGTCGAACTTCGTTAATTTGCAGGACCTCATTAGGCATCTCTCGGGACCGCACAACAATCTACTGCTCAGCAGAAATCTACATCGTGAATTTACGAATCATGAATAGCAACAAAGTCAAAGACCATCCGGTGCTGAAGAGTGTTCCTTGAACGCATAATGATGAGCAGCTTATTTGAGATGCTCTCAAGATCTCATTAGGAGGATGCGATCAAGTTACACAATTTCTGTTCAGACTGTTTAAAAAATTAGTTTATGCAAAATGAGATATTTAAAATTATCGCTCAGTCTATCTTCGCTACTTGTGATATACAAAAAAGTATATAATAATTATTATATATTTACATTTTCAAATTATATATTAATAATTATTTTCTTGTTTTCTTTATATTTTGAAAAATTATGATCTTTCGTAAAATAATTTATTAATTATTTGTTTTTTTCATAGACAAATAATTTCTTAAGTTTTTGTCGTATCACTAAAAAGCAGTGAAGAACTTTTGCGTAATGATTTTAGATTTTCTTATGTAATTGATCGACTTATTCCACTGTTTGCAATGAACAAAAATTTTTATAACTTGCAATAATTTTAAATTATTGTTAGTTATAAACATTTTTATATGATATTTTGATCTGTAATATAGAGAGTGAGATATATGATCTCTATTACAGATAAAATATAATTAAAAGCATGGACTCGAGAAATGATTGATTTAATATGATATTAGGAAACAAATTTACATATAATAACCAATAAATAATAATTAAACAATAAGAATATTGAATTATTAAAGACTCTTTTGCTTAACAATTAATAATAATAACAATATGAGAAGGATTATAGAAGTTGCTAGAAACTCAATTGCGCAAAATTGGTTTAATCAATTTTCGAACCAACATGTGCTGGCAAATTTCCGACTAATTTAAATTAAATAATTTTAATTTGCGACTATTGTACCATATTTTACTATATTGACGATGTTTTAAAGTATTACGATTGCAGCAGTTATGCGTGAGACTCTTCCACTCAGCACTATGAAACTTTGTGGCATAATACCAAGATGTTGAGGAAGGACGATACTCACTGCATCTCTGTCTACAATTGATCGGTTTTTTTCTACGATACTCGCGGAAGATTATATGTAATTATTATTTTTATGCTAATGATGGCTCAAAGTGGAGCCGAAATGTACATTTGTGATTAAATTGTTAAAAAGCGTAATTGAATTCTAGCACTCCTTTTCATATTGTTATTATTATTTCGTATTGTTATTTACTAAAATTTACATATAGTCTGAACAAAATTTCTTTTCAAATACTGCTGTTTGTCTTCATATATTTTTTATTTATTATTTTAATTAGTTATTATAACTTTGTTTTCTTATTAAAAAAAAAATTATTTTACATGACTTTGTAAAATAAAAAAAAAGTTATTTTATATGACTTTGTAAAATAAGTTTTTTTTTTGTAAAAAAATAACTTATAAGCAAAAAACTCAAAATTGTATGTACAATACAAAATTGTCACCGTCATGCAAATATAAATATAAAGACACAGACAGTATGCAGCACCAAGAAAGAGGTCTTTTCTAAGAATAATAAAAATTAATCGCTTTTATGTATACAATGTGAAACTTGTCTAGATTGAAGTTGCTTAATTGACAACTTGGCAGAAAGTATCCATGATGTAAGAATGCCAGGTGTAACACAGCACACCTGGTTCTCACATCATGATCTTATCGTTACGGCTAAGTAATAACTTTGATAAAATGTCTTTGTTAATATTGACTCGATAGTGATTCGAGTACGTCGAGTCGGGAGTGATCGCAGAGAACGATCTAGGAAAAGTACAAGGATGATAATATGAACGAACAGAGAGTCAATTATTGTCACACGTTAAATCTTGGCATAATTGTAGCGCAATCTCTTTGTCGCGTCTTGTTTGTTGTTATTTTATTTTAATCGCCGCACGTGGCAAATCTGGCAAAGTCCCGTTTACCTCAACGCGTGCGAGTAATTTTACGAGTAATGTAAATAATGTTAAATAGGAACGAGAGGACGGACTAGAATTTATTTATTTCACACTATTGCAAAGGGACCAACCGACTTTCCACCGATTTCTATCTTAGGTAGATCTTAGGTATCCTGCCCGCCAATCGCCACGAGCTAGCTATTAGTAGTTAAAACTGTACGGTTTCGATCGCGAACATGAAAGTATTCGATCGGGATGTTGAAACGGAAAAGAATGAAGTATTGAAATATTAAGCAGGACGAAAGAGAACATTATCGGCGAAATCGATTGTGGAAGACACAGTTATGATGTTTATAAATTGTTGATACAATTTATTGTTTAGTAAACATCGACGTTGTTAATGTTCTGTCTTCTAAAACCCGTCTTCCACATTGTCGCCTATCTCTCATCTTCCTCGTCCTGACATCCCATTCATGGTACACCCTTCAGTATAACTTAGCGACTCGAGTGCCTTGTCAAATGGGTCCAAATTGGTCGATTGGGCAGTGATTTCATGTGTTCATAGGCTTAAGAGACATAGGCGTTTAAGATGACGATACGAGTTCGCTTAGGAAATGGAGGAACATTAACGAATTCACATAGAAGAGTTTAAGATTCATTTGAATTAATTCAACTTTTCTTAAGGCTAGTTCGATCGTTGTAATTAGTAGCTTTCTTTCATCTAATTTTATCTTTGTTTGGCGCAGGACGTCATTTTTTTTCTTTTCTAGGTAGGCATTATTATTATTACCTAAGGTGCCTTGAAGAAGGGCCTCGACCTCTTTTTTGCTCCTTGATTGCATAAAACCATCTCGAAGATATTCGGAAATGATTGAGCAAGGAGAAGAAACGTAAGACACTTTCAAATTGGTCGATTATTAACGCGTTTGGAAATTTATTCTGTTTAAAGAATATACAATCCACAAAAACGAAGTAGAAGAGTCTGCTTTAATGCAGTGATAATTGATCGAGTCGTAATTGTGAAAAGATAAATTGAATACAATGTATTGTACAAAAAAAATTACTAAATTAGCATATGATATAGACGCTCTGAATGAATGTAGCTTCGATCTTCTAGATTCGCTTACATACCAAAGACGTTCTGATAAAAGTTGTAAAATAATATTAGTTAAATATAAATGCAATAATTTAGTTTTTAAATCAACGAATGACATTTCGAGCTGCGCTAAGTACTAAACGGCATTGTACTTGAAGGATATTTTACAATTTTAATATATACTTGAATATGTATATATATATATATATACATATATATATATATATACATATTGTTGATTGCAATGGAGCAAGTTTGTATTATACATTAATTGCAGTAAATTATCATTTTCTCGTGATAATAAAAGATGTATATAATAAAAGATATATAAAGATATAAATTTATATAAAAGTTTATATAAAAAAAATTTTCTTTATGGTTCTGCTTCTCTCAAAGAGTGTCCTGTATCAGTCAAATAAAGCATCGCGCAGAAAAGGAACGGAAACACAGTCGATTGGTGTTCTCTCTTCATTATATCCTTGTGTTTCTGCTTGACCTCATAATCGCGATTGCTCGAGGGTGGAGACAAATCGATCGGTGCGCCTTTTCTTCTCCTTCACTTCCCTTCATTACGACATCCATTTACGAGAATGTCGTAACGGGGAGGCGTACAAGAAACGGAGCGGAAAGAGAGGTGGAGGGGTGGTGTGCGCTCTCGCAAAGCCAGGCAAAAACGGCCAGCACAAAACAGTGAACGTAATGTGATACTAAATGATAATAAAGCTAAAGTAATTATTGTTTAGCGTGCGACGCCGCGGCGTTCACGGCACGAGCGCGACTCGTGGCTCTTGGCGTGAGCAAGAGGAGAATCTTGCGATCGCGAAAGGGCATCAGGAGGATACCGACGAAGAAAGATCTTGCGAGTCGCCTATAATAATTTAAGCAATCAGCTTTTTATCATCATTCTTTCCTTTACCCTTTCGCCCACCCTTATCACGCACTCCCGACATCAGTCGTCCCCTCTTCTCGAGCCGTAAATGCACTAGGATTATGCATTACAGATTATTTTATTGTTAATTAATTATGTTTAGCGCGCACGCGCACCCGGATGTCCCTCTCGAGACCGTGATCGCACCATTGAGGAGAAAAGAAAAGCATAGATCTCGAATTTCGCTTTCGATCCAGTTGACCGAGAATGCGGAAGAAAACGATATTTTTCTGATATGATTATTTGACGTTGCAGAATTCTTCGGAAATTGCAAGTTCTTTTGTCATTATATAGCAGTGAAAGAATAAATTGAATTACGCATTATTCAGTAAAGAGAAAATTTAAGAGATACAAAGACAATAATTGGCAAAATCTTGTGTAAAACGTTGATTTTCTGTCGTCACTGTTCTAAATTTAACGTCTTCTTTTCCTCATTCGGACATTCGGGTGAAAGATTGTAGATTTTAAGCATCTTCCAAGCGGGGCACAAGCTCCGTGTGCTTTCTTAGTGTTCATAGGTTTATGAAAAATAAATTAAAATTCTGAAGAAACCTGGTGTACGACAAGATAAACAGAAGCAAACATAATCGAACTAATATATGTTTCCAATACTTCCCTCTTCTATTCCTATAGACCTGTTGTGTGATCTATTGAAAGATACCTATATTATTTAATTGCCCTATTGTGAAACGTGTATATATAAAAATTTGTAGAAGAATTGCATTTGAATTTAAACATTACTAAGCAAATTTAACGATTTTAATAAATTAGTTGAACAAACCATCTTAAATTATTTCACAAATTACTGCTTTTGGAAGCTTTTAATAATTTTTATATAATTAAAGAAGACGAAAAAAAAATTATGTACACTTATTTAACGGAATTTATCTAGATGCTTTCTTGAGAGCAGTGTGTGTGTGTATATTACGTTGTCTACCTCTGTTAACGATCGCTATCTTCAGCGATGTGAATATAAGATCAAAATCGAAGAGTTAATTATTGTTTTCGTGATACGTATAGCGGTTTGCCGTTCAGAATCTTCAAAGAGTTCTCCAACAGAGGTGCAAAAGATATCGCCAGCTAACGGTTCGAGGACTTCTCGGTTTTGTGCAAAAGGAAAAACAGCGAAACCCGTTACTAGTGGGCTACGTTCCAACAAAACGCTGTATGCCGTATACATCCAATCTCGATGTATACGGTATAATCGACGGTGTCGATTGCATAATTATGCGACAAGTAAATGTCCATTCCTCATTTTGGCCTCCCGAGAAGAATCGGTCTGTTCGATCGCACCTGCCTGGCAGCCGAACATAAATAACATTTGTACGAGGATCGAATTGCTGGAACCAGCTTTATAAATGATTAGAGGAAGTGGACAGACATATTTGCCTTTCATAATTGAATAAGGCGTGTTTTGATTGTAATTCATGCGTGAAATAAGCAATTAATTAGTTTTAGTATGCATAATAAATAAAGGCAATCAAATATTCTGCGAACAAGAAGCGACAAAAAAAAATAGAAAAAAAAGGGAGAGAAAGAGAGAGAGAGAAAGAGAGAGAGAGAGAGAGAGAGAGAGATTTTCAGAAACTTTTTAAATACAATCATTTCGACGCGTGTAAGTTTTGTTAAACTCAATACTATCTCATATCATCAATTATATTTCATTAATTAAAATTTCGCGCAAACATAAAATGTTATTACAAATGAAATAATATACCTATATTTTTGTTACGAAAAATAAAAAATCAATGAATTCAATACGTGAACGGAAATAATTATTGCATATCGATCGAGTTTTTTTTTCGATAATTTCAATTAAAAATGGATGTGCGTTTTATGTGTAAATTAATGGCGTAATTAACGAAATAGGTATTTTAATATATGTGATATATTTGAATATATGCGTAAATTTGAATATTAGCGTAAAAAGAATAATCAGAAGATTCTAGAAAGACAGTGAGTATATAATTACAAAAATCTTAAACGATTTATTATCTTTTACTATCTTTTCTCTAAAAATTCTTAAATAATGAATGTATAAATCTAAATTAGTGATCGTGAAATAAAATTCTTCTAATCCGTTAACTTTGCATTTAATCTGAGAAATCAGTGACATTCCACGCAGTTGATAGACCTCTAACGCTGTTCCCGTAGGGGCTAACGTCTTCGATTGCGAAGTACCGTTTATTCTAAAGTTGCATAATGGATCTTGCATTTCTGGTTCTTGGTCGCGTCACCGATGGATTTGCCAAGAGGCGCATCCTTGACCAATGACCAACGTCTTCTCGGCCAGCGTCTTGGGCCACGGAGAGTACCGTAAGAGTACTAATACGTGGGTAATACAGAGGGGGTAAGACCTCTCGGTCAATGCTCCTGCTTAATGTATATAAAGGTTGGAGCCTTGACTGGTGTTCGAGGCAGATCGTCATCAGACATGTTCGGGAAGATTATCCTAGCACTTTCGGCTCTGGCCTGGGCCAGTGCCCAGATTCCTAATCTCGGTTTCTGTCCGGAATATATACCCATGGCGAATTTTAACAGACAAAGGGTGAGTAACTTAAATGTTTCGTTAAACACAATTTCTGAATGTATTATCGTACACATTCGGTTTATTTTATTTTTTTTTATTTTGTTATTTTGTTTTGTTTGTGGAACATTTAATTTTATGTGAATTTATAGAATATACTCTAATTACAGCGATGTTTTATTATTAAACGAATATCAGAGAAAATGAAATTTTCTTTACATTGCAGAATATTTGTGTAATGGATATTTAATTTTCTTATAGTTCATGGGTATTTGGTATGAAGCAGAAAGATATTTCCAGCTTAGTGAAGTAGTATCTCGATGCGTTATGTCGAATTATACGAAAGGTGCC